ATACTTAATTATTCTAGCCTTAGAGAAATCATTACTAAATGGATAGATATGAGATATATCACTTTTATGCAAAAGCATCTTGTTTCAACACAAAGCCAAAGGGATTGCAAAATCAATTTCTAATTCTGTCGTTTATTTTTCAAACTATTTTTATGTAAGAATGAATCCTCTTTGGAATTGCATTTTACCAATTAAGAGTCATGGTAGTAGGTATAACATATATCTTAAGGCAAAGTGCAGGCTTTTTTGTAAATAACTCTTTCACTCCAGAACGAATGATCGATGAGGTTGTTCTAACTTTTGAGTCTGCAGATGAAATCCGGTGTTGTGACATTCTCTTACGTTGTACCACTTGTTTCTCCGAATTTTATAGAATGAAATTTGGAATTTCTGTCCAGTTTAGACTTTGGCCTTTCCTGTGAGAGAAAGAGTTAAAGCAACCACTATAGGCGGTGTTAGGATAACAGAAAAAATATTGGACAAACATTAATTCATAGTTACGTAACGCTTTTGTAAATAAACAGTACCATATCACGCAATGCTTTGAAATGCTACTTTCTTCCACCTATAAAAGACTAAAAATCCCTTTTAAATAGAGAAAAATGTTAATGAACGATATGCTTCTCTATTAAACGGTCCCAGGTAACCAGGTATGGACCTCGCCTTACAATTAAATCAGCCCAAAGCCAATTCTTTCCAGGAAAGCTTCCGGATGAGATGGTTGGTCACTCCGGATTACTGAGACTGCTCTAGGGGAACAAACCAGTGCCGGATCCAAGCCTTGAGATAAGGGGGGTGCCCGGTCTCCATTTTTTTTTGGCCCTTCGCGCCACAGTTTGGTCATGGGCTCCTGGTTTGGTCTAAAAATAAGCGGGGGGGGGAGAAGGGCCTTCCGGGCCCCTCCCCTGGATCTGCCACTGCAAACAATTAACCCTACTAAGACGTAGTGAAATCATGTTAAAACTGGACCCAGCTAGTTGTCACCTTTCGAAGATGAGCACCTCTCAAAGTGGTTTTTCTGTGAGGTAGACATCTCTCTATGAAGGACTAAAAATACGCCAACCACCTTTTTATGATTGGTACTCCTAAGATAGTTACTTTTTCAAGGTGGCCAGTGTGTAAAACAGACACTACTCAGGGGTTTTGACTCGAGGGCTCTTGCTTGTACGTAAGTCCTAGCACAGGACGAAATAACGTGTTTCCGTATTTTGTAAACTCGACGGAAACGGGACGTTGCTTATATCCATCACGTTTCCGCGCTGCGGAAACATGGTGATCTAGTTTTCCATGGACGGGACGCGTTTCCGTCATGTTTCCGCGTCGGAAACGAACGATCATGTTTCCGCCACATTTCTGTTATCACATT